GACAGGTCCTGCGGGCCCACGTACACCTCGCGGATGGGCGTGGGAGCGAGGATCTTGGGCGTCGGGGCAGGGCTGTGGGCGGGCTTCATGCTGAGGTCCATGAGCGGGGGGCGGGACATGGCGGGGACACTGCGGGGGCCATCACCACCGACGGATGGCGGCGGGCGCTGGCGGGGAGCAGGGGCCGTGGCGACCGCGGGCGCCGGAGGTGATGCTGTGGGGGGCGTGGCGAGGGGGGCGGCGGTGACGGGCGGAGACACGGGGCCGCTGGAGGGGGGCACGCCCGTCATGGCCGACGCGCATGACGTGAGGTGCGTGAGAAGGCGCGACGACACGGCGGGCTCCAGGCTGGGCGAGGCGATCAGGAAGGACTGCACCTGCTGCGCCGCCGCCACGAAGCCCTGCTGGAACTTGAGGGCGTCGTGCCTGGGGTCGTGGCCGCCGGGGGGCAGAGTGAGGCGCCGGCGCTGGTTCAGGCGGCGGACGTGACGGACGGTCAGCTCGAGGATGTCGGCTTTCTCCAGGCGGGTGACGGTCTCCCCCTCGGCCTGCAGCGCCGCCACCAGGAGGTCGCGAAGCTCGTCGAGGCAGCGGTTGATGCGCGCACGCCGCTTCCTCTCCAGCAAGGGCTTCATCACTCGCTTATACTGATCCGTGCGGGACACTGGCTCCATTTGCACCGAGGAAACCATCTTAATCCACACTATGTAATTCCAGAACACTGCAGGAACAAGTCTCTCTCAACTGAGGGCGAACACTCGAGACGGACAGGAGCTCTCGATATCCTTCCGCGGACGGCTGCGTTTAAGATCTAAGGTTGACCGGGCCGGCCGGGTCTATAAGTAGTGTGGGAGCTCGTCATCCAGCAGCTGCCGGATGCCTCCATATGCCAACGCGGGGAATTGCTTTGCTCTATTTTCGTTTTCATTTGCTATTCTTATCGACGATACGATGCATACAAACTTAGGGAATGCGATTCTACAGTATGAATCAATATATTCGCACAAATGAAGCAGAAATGAAAAGAAACCAATATTTACGGCGAGTGGCAACGGCCGCGTCCGGGCGCCTCGTGGGAACCTCGCGCCATGCGTCGTCCCAGTGTAAGTAGCGGGTGCCCACTTGCACGCCCGCACGCCCCCATCTTCTCACGCTCGCTCTCCACTTATCTCCAACGACAATCGCCACCGTCATGTCACTTGAAGATACGTACGAGGTTACCGAACAATATTTCCCTAAGTCTGAACCCATTACAATATCAGAGGTCGTTAAGACGCGTCCACAATAGCGGGGTTTCGTGGGATCTCCCTCCCCCGTTCCCTGTTCTGCCCCGGGCCTTGTCCCCGCGGGCGATGCCGCATCTACCCAACTTGTTCATTAATGTTTTATTTATATACGACTTCCTTTAAATGGAGAGCGGCCTTAGGAATCACGCAGGGCCGTAGCGTACGCAGAGCTCCTCCGCCTTTACGCCAATCTTGAACGTTTAGCGAAAGGCGAGAAAAAGGAAAAATTCGCAATATCGTCGCGTCCCCTTCATTAGGAACATCCGACCCCCCCCGCACCTGTTGTCTCAGAGCAGAAGGGGAAGAGGAGGGGGGGGGAGGCGCGGGAGAGAGAAAAATATAGAAATATGGTGGGAACAGATGGAAAAAGGGATAGGTAGGGAGGTGGCGGTGAGAGGACGGACAATATGATGGATAGATAGAGAGGAGGGAAGAGAAGAAAAGAAAAGAGAAGACAAGAGACCGAGCGAGCAAACGAGAAGAGAAGAGAAGATAAAGTAAGAGACTAAGCAAGCGAGAAGAGAAGATAAAGTAAGAGACAAGAGACCGAGCGAGAAGAGTAAAGAAGAGAAGAAAGAGCCCGAACGAGAAGCGAAGAGCACAGAAGAGAAATGGCGAAACCGTACACCACAATATCAATAAAACCCACAACGGACCTCACCCCCTTTCTCCTCCGGCCCGGCGCTCCGAAAAGGCCCCAAATAAAGTTATCTGCATGTTATCTTTTCTCCTACCACACTGCAGCCGCGCCCTCGAGACCTATGGGCGCCTGTTCACCAATTATCAAATTAACAACCATATAGGCCTCTTTCCTTTCCATTTTTTTTACGGCCTAGGATGAAATATATAGGCCTATACACCTGACGCACTTCCTGTCGGGCGGCAGAAGGTGATAGAGAGAGAGAGAGAGAGAGAGAGAGAGAGAGAGAGAGAGAGAGAGAGAGAGAGAGAGAGAGAGAGAGAGAGAGAGAGAGAGAGAGAAAGAAAGAAAGAAAGAAAGAAAGAAAGAAAGAAGAAAGAAAAAAAGGAAGAAAGAAAGAGAGAGAAAAGGCGCCCCTCCCCCCCTTTTCCCACACCCCACGCCCACGCCCCGGGTATAGGGAGCAGGTCGATGGGGCATGGACGGACTTCCTCGGGCATGAATGTAGCGATCCGTCGTGGGCATATAATTACTTCGCTACCCGAGTCATGCCCAAGTGCCGTCGCCCCCCCCATCCCTCCCTCCTCCCCCCCTCGTGGACCCTCCCTCCCTCCTCCCCTCGTGGGCCCTCCCTCCCCCCTCCCCCCTCGTGGACCCTCCCCTTCCCCCTCCTCTTCCTCCCCTGACACCGTATCCACCGCCTCCGTCAAAACCCTTGCTTCGTCCCCCCTCCCTCCCTCCCTCCCATCATCCATCATCTCTTTTCTTTTGCTTCTTCTTCCTCTTCTTTCTCTTTTTCCTTCTTCTTCCTTCCTTCATCTCCTCCTCCTTCTCCTTCTTCCACCATCCTCCTCCACCTCCACCTCCCCTTCTCCCCTCCACCTCCACTTCCACCTCTCCACCCCCCCCTTCCTTCCACATCTCCTCCACCTCCACCTCCACCTCCAGCCCCCCCCTCCTCCACTTCCACCACCTCCACCTACCCCTCCTCCTCCACCTGCTCCACCCTGTATCTCCGTCGAGGTCCACGCGATGGAGGCTAACCTAATGCTCGGATTAGAACCCCTTTCCTGACCTAATCACTTCTAATCATTTTGTGTAGGCCTATCCGAGTCCGCGTGCCCCCCCCCCCCTATGTCCTCTCCTCTCCGCACCCGGGTATAGCCACACCGATATCCACACCTCGGTAGATTATCCGCGCGGCCAGTTGATCAATAAAAAACAATAAAATAAGAGAAACCTAAAAAAAAAAAAATAAAAAAACAACAACAAAAAACAAAAAACAAAGAAACAAAGAAACAGAAAACAAAAAAAAACAAAACAACACAACAACAAAACAGAAACAAAACAAAGACAAACAAAAAAACATCTATAGTATTAAATATTAAAATTAGTTCCTTTGATTTAATAAAAAAGGGGATTTATTTGATTTTTTAAAAGCTATTTGTTCATATCATATAATTGATACTTCTTCGATTCAATAAAAGTTTATGATATTAAGTAATAGATTTTTTCGGGCTGCATGCCACTCACTCAAGCATTGGAACAAAAGCGGTACGTATGTGGATAAAAAATATCTATTTTTTTTTTTTTGGAGAAGTTGATATCTCTATTTAAAGGCTGGAGACTTTAGAAATATGACTTATTATCAGAGGTAACTTTATTGTTATTGTTATTATTGTTACTTTCGTTTATTTGTTGTATTGATTAATCATCACCATCATTATAAGCATCATCATCATCATCATCATCATCATCATCATCATCATCATCATCATCATCATCATCATCATCATCATCATCACCATCATCACCACACCATCACCATCACCATCATCACCATCACCACCACCCACACTTATCTGCTGAATACTTATCAATTATCAGTACTAATATAATTTTTTTATTTATTTATTTATTCATTTTTTTTTACTTTTGAAAAAGATTATGCTCATAATGTATTTTTCGCTCGTGGTTTGTGCGAATCGGAGAGATATGGTGTTTTCGTCATGGTGGTAGGGCAAGGGGGGGGGGCGCAAGGGGGGGGGGTTTCTTTCATATTTGCGCTTACACAATACGATTCAGGGAGAAGAGGGAGAGAGAGCGGGAGAGGGAGAGGAGAGGAGAGGAGAGGAGGGAGAGGGGAGGGGGGGGGGGAGGGGGAGGGGGAGGGGGAGAGGGGGGAGGGGGGGAAGGGAAGGAAGAGAAGAAAGGAGAGGGGAGAGAGGAGAGGGAAGATTATAAAGAAGAGAGAAGAAAGAGAAAGAAGAGAAAAGAAGCGAATAGAGAGAAAGAAAGCCGAAATAACCGCCAGAAATAAAAGATCCGAACGAGAGACAGACAGAAGAGACAGAGAGAGAGAATAAAAAGACCCCAAACACAGAAATAAGTCACAGTAGACCCCGGCGACCCGAAGGCCAGCCGAGACCATCGCCAAATCGCCGACCGACGCCAGGTAGGGGTGGGGTGGGGGGGGGGGGGAGGGGGGCGAAGAGAGGTGGTGGAGGAGAGGCGAGAGAGGTGGTAGAGGGAGGGGCGATAAGGGAGAGGAGAATGCTAGGGGGCGATAAGGGGGAGAAGGGAGATAAGGGGGCGAGAGCAGGTGGTTGGAGGAGGGGGGAAGAGGGTGAGAGGGGAGGAGGGAGGGGGACGGGAGGGTGGGGGAGGAGGGGAGAGGGGGGAGGGGGGGCGGCGAAGAGAGGGTGGTGGAGGGAGGTGGCGATAAGAGTGGAGAAGGGGGCGATAAGGGGCGAAGAAGGGAGAGGGAGGAGCCCGAAGAGATGATTGGTGGAGGGAGGCGATAAGGGGGAAGAAGCGAGGATGGAGGGGGTGGGGGCACGGATATGCTATTAGGCGCCTGGAGGACGTTTCATCAGGTTCACGATGACGCTCCGGCAGCGCCACCTGTTAAAACGCGCTCTTACCGAGTGCCCTGGCCGAGGCTCTCCCCCCATGCC